TGGCCTGCTAGGATGGCGCTGTACCTCACTTCAGCCATAGCAACAGAGTATGAAGTCACCCACTGAAGCCTTGAACACCGTGAACCAAATAAATGCCCTCCCACACACTTGTTTCTCTTAGGTATGTGCCACTTTGAAAAAGTCTAACACGTTAAATGCTACCCAGGGGCCTATATGCTACTGTCTAGGTAATTCGTCTGTAACACTATGGCGTGAGGAGGCAGTGGAACATTCTAGGAAATGGTTACCACGAAGACAGAAGTCTTGATGCCTGCATACCATGATGCTCTGTTTCACACAGATCCAAGAACTGTAGAGCCAAACAACCATGGACTGAAAAACCCTCAACCTATGAGCCAAACGCAACATGGTCTTCTCTTAAGTTGGTTACCTCAGGAATTTTGTCTTAGCTAATTTCAAGTGTTTTAAAATGAAACGATTTCATCTAGGTTTCTGGCTTTCTTCAAAGGGTAGCCATTGTATCTACTCTGTGTCTGTCACCCACCTGGCAGTCACTTACTTAGTACCTGTGTCGATATTAGAAGAATTGGTGCTGTGGAACAGTGCTTGTGTGAAGTGAGCCTTACACAGGAGCCTAACACTGTATCCCCATGCCAACTTCATCATTAGCCTTACCCTCAATTCACATCTCCCGTGGGCGTTACATCACCGCACACCATCATAAGAAAGGCATGTGCAGCACGGTATTTTGAGAGACAAAGACAACGGCTATATTCACACCGTCTTTTTTACAATACAACTAGTGTCACTGTTACTCTTTTTGCTATGACTGACTTGGAAATTAAGCCTTGTCCTAAGGTAGTGCTGGACAGAAAGCAAAGCACAGTTTATTCTCTCATGTTTCAGGCATTCACTGGGCATGTTGGAAAATACTCCCCATGGATAATGGGAGACTACTATATACAATAAGGAAAGTGCAACTGCCTCTTATCCAGAGATAACCACAGTTGTTTTCATGTATCAATATCTGTTATTTAAAATAGAATCTCAGCCCATGTTGATTTCTACCATTCCTTATGCACTTAACATACTTCCTCCCAGAAACTCTGTTTATTCATCTGTTTATGTGTCTTCTATAGCTTTTTGGCTCATTGCTATACTCTTGGGTTCTGAAGGAAGTATTCAGTGTTTGTTAAATGAGTTAAGATCATGACTATCTATATGTGCATTTGTGTATTTAATAATTCATCAGAACCAAGGTCACATATGATAATTCTAGATTTTTCATTATATTGAAAAATGTTTTTATTATATACATTATTATACAATATTATACACATTATTATCATATTTATTATATTATACATATAATGCATGCTCTTTTGTCAAATGGTATTTTTTTAACTTTTTATTGATTTTTTGTGGACTTCACACCATGCATCCCAATCCAACTCATGTTTCTCTCCCCTCACTTCTGCTCTCTACCCTTGCAACCTCCCATTTCCCAACCCTGTACTTGTTCACCATAATGGTGCCTGAGGTGAGCTTATATTCCAGCAAGCCACTGATTTATATAAAACCCTTTAGTGCTTTCTCATGACCCTTAGAACAAAATTCAAAATCCTTATTATAGATTAAAATTCTTTAGCCTTTGCAAAAATGCAGTCCTAATCTTCAAAACTAGGGTATCTCAAAAACCTTAACATCCACCACAGCGTGGCTTCAGGCTTTATTCCCCACTGGGCTGAATCCTCATACATTCCCATAGTATCTAGGTTGACCACTTTCAAAATTCTCATTGCTTTGGTAATTCTTGTTCGGTGACTTCTACCTTTGACAGTGAAGTCTTTATAGAAACAAGATCTGGAATGGTCTTGATTATTACTCCTGGATTCCCAGAGCATAGTTGGAGAGCAGCAAGGGCAAGAAAATATCGCTGCATTAATGAACACTAAAAAGCATACCGTTGGGGCTAGAGAGATGGCTCAGGGATTAGTGAATGGTGCTCAGTTTCAGTGAATGGATGAGGCTTCTTATTGTATCCCAACACCCAGCACTTCTGTTCACATGGCTCAGTGATGGAGGCCACGTGATGCTGCCAGCTTTCCTTCCCCCTTGGGTTCAAATGGAGTCTAATAGTTTGAGATTCATTTTCCCATTTTTTTGGTACATCTGATTCATTTGAGGTTCCAATTCTCTAGTGTTCAGGTAGGGAGAGTCCTTGGACTCCTTCAGGGATGCCTCTATGTAAGGGAGCACTCAGTGATGGATTAGTGAATGTGGAATCATTTGCATCTGTTTTCTTTGATAATAAGAAATGAGTGCAGGAGATTTGGGAAGAAGGAAGGATGAAACTTATTCCAAGGTGCCAACATCTATTAGAGAAATATGGTTAGAATTTGAGGAAGTACTGAATCTCATCTGAGATGTCCAGCCTTGATTTTAAGTGAGGCTGGTCAGCAGTGGGATTTGATTCCATCCAGTCCCCAAAGCTAGTCATGTATAATTGTGTGGGCGGTTGGGCTTAACATTTAAGGTTTGCCAATTTAGCTCAACAAAAGAAAGACATTTCAAGTATTAGGTAAAGTGGGAAGGTACGCCAGGAGTGATACTGATTCTGGAAAATCTGATGAGGCCAAATCAACCTGGTGGACCAAGATGAAAACCCTGGGTATGATGATTACAGACTGAGAGCACATCCCTTAAAAAATGGCTCTAGTCAGACAGTAAAAATAACAGAACACGATGAATGCACATCTTGCTGAGTGAAAGCCAAGAAGTCACAGCCAAGATATCCCAGAGTAGATTTCTATAGTCTGAAGGCCAGAGACCATTGGCTGTAGCTCCCCTAAACATCAAGTGTCCCATGACAAAGAATGGATAGGGAACTTACTTCAGAATTTTCCATATGCCTATCCATATGGAAAAGCACTTCTGGGTGGGGACATGGCTAGTTGAGGATGTCCTGGGCATGTTCAGTTAAAAGGATGCTCAAAACGGAAAGCTGGCAGACAGGAATGTCCTCTCCAAGATAGCTGGAAGATTGACCCAGTTGCCTGGCATATCACAGATGCTGAATGGGAGATCACCAGGCACACTTGGTTTGTGTCACCATGGTCACTGCAATCATGGTGACTTAAGGTTAGAGGAATCAATGGCACTCTAAGCCAGCCAGGTGGTAGGAAGGGGCAGCCAAGAACCAGAGAAGGGCACATTGAAGTGACTGCAAATGTGATGCCCCTGCCTGAAAGTTCCCACAGCCGACCTCTTTGCCGAGACCCCTTTCTTCCTCAAAGCTGCCCTGGGCACCAAAATGTGGGTGTGTGGAGTAGCTTGGGCTTTTGCCCTCCTGAACCTGCTCCATGCTCACAAAACATTTCCCCAAGGCAAAGAGCCCTTTGGAAGGTGGCTGCCGGTAAACACAGGCTAGAATTGAATTAGCTTCATAGTTCTGAGGCAGGGCAGGAGAGTGGCTTCATGGCTTAGTGTTTCTGGTAGTAGCAGCTGTCAAGTCCCATCTGTAAGGGGAACTCTGACCAGCTTACAGATTGAAGAAGCTGGGAAGGCAGTGAGCAGAGAAAGTGGAGGAAACAGCTAACTGGTGTTGTGAGAGTGACTCCCGTGCAAACAGCTAGGCCCCCTCCACCCAGACTGAAGTACCTCTAACTTTAGTCCAATTGGTTCTCTGATCAACCATGTATGGAAGCTTTGACTCTGGGAAGTCAAAGCTAATATAAACCCTAACATTGCCTCAGCATCACCTGCTGCAGTCAGTAGGTTGGAGCTGGTTGTATAGGTGCCTGCCCCACAGAGTATCCCAGATTTTTAATTCTCCCACCTTAACCTAGGCTAGCCCAAGTGCATTCTTCTACAGATCAGGAATCTTCAATAGGTCCATCGGCAGCACTCCCTTTGAAGACGGCAGATGCTAATTAGTCCAACATAAGAGTAAAACAAAAGAGTTGGGCCTGGTAAGTCCCCAGGCTTTATTAGCAGGTAGGTACTGGTGTTTGCTCTTCTCCATTTGCTTTAGGAGTAGCCTCACAGTGTAGCAGTAATGCATTCATTGTCCTAGAAGAGTGGGGACATAGTGAAGCTGGACTAATTGCCCAAACAACCCCCAAACAGATGCTGTCACGACTAACCCTCAATTTTGGAGGGTAGACACGCCAGTTTCAGGGGGTGTGGCAAATCAAAAGGCAAGCAGAGGGAGAAGCATGGTCGAGGAAGCCAGGAAGAAGACGACCCACTGGGCTGATCTCAGAGTGAGTGGCCTCTGGAATTGAAACATGGGTCCCGCTCCACCGCCAGTCACTAAATATGTTATGTCCCAGACTTACAAATAATACTGGTCATTATGCAGTTTCTAATGTATCTGCTCAGACCCTGGGACGGTGCAGAGGCCGGGGCCATTGCAGTGTCACTGAAGGAAATGGCTTCCTAGGATAAACAGAAAAGGGCCCTAGCTACTGTGGTGGTTTTAATGAGACATGCCACCACCAGCCTCTCGCCCTTATAGGCTCTGGAATTTGAATACTTGATCCCCAGCAGTTGACACTGTTTGGGAAAGTTTAGGGATGTGGACTTACTAGAGGAAGTGCCACTGAGGACATGCTTTGAGGTTTCAAAAGCCTCCTGCCTCCCCAGTTTGCAGTTTCCTGCTTGCAGTTCTAGATGTGTGCGCTCAACTGTTATGCCTCTATGTCTGATCACTGCCACTCCCTGCTATGATGGCGATGGACTCCTATCCCTAGGAAACCAAAGTTGCTTTTGGTCACAGAGTCTTCAATCCAGTAACAGAAAAGTAATTAATAGCCAGGTGGTTGTAACAAATGCCTTAAATCCAAGCATTTGAGAGGCAGATGTAGGCAGGTCTCTGGTGGTCTGCAGAGTGAGTTCCAGGACAGCGAAGGATACACAAAGAAACCCTATCTCAAAAAGAAAAAAAAAGTAATAAATCTACTTTTATGATAATATTAAAAGAAGGCAAGTGATTTTATTAAATATAAGTAAATTCAAGACATCAATGTTACCAATAGTGATGAAAATTATTAGTATTTATTTTTAACTTAGTTTGAACTAGGCACTAAGAGTTTTAGAACTGATGTTTGTCTGGGTTTCTATACTCCAAAATGCCCCCAATTCACTGCTCTGCAGTAAAGAAAAACAAAAAGAAAACAGAGATACCAAATTCTAGATATTTGCACAATGATTTTAAAAATTCAAAATTTAAAACTAGACCAGAATATTTACATGTTTTATTAAATTTACAATCAGTAATATAATCAAATACACAATTATATACAAGGATTATATACATTTTTGCCCAGACTTTTACATCACAGTACATAGTTTCCATTAGAAATATTGTATACATTTATCACCAAACAATAAAACCCAACAACAGTAGTGTTACAGCACCTGTTAGTACAGACAGCTTTTTCATAAATTACATCATAAGAAAATATACGGCTGTAAATTGGGCTTTTAAAAATGTCTTTTACAAAATCTGAACATACAATGTTTCATTCACAGAATGTTTTTTTTCCTATGTTCTGACTGTAGCCTTGTGCATAAAACAACCAGTTGGAATATTTACTAAATGCTACCCACCCCTCTAAAATTATGAGCACTATTTGAACTACATAGGCTGAGCTTTCTTTATGATGAGTCTGGCATGGGGTTTGGTGAGAGAACAAATGCTGGCTGTGCTATAAGAAAGGTTTAGAGGATGGTAATTTGAAACTTATGAATTCCCAAGAAAATTATATTAGTTAAATTAAAGTCAGAGAGTGCATAATTTTTCATTTTAAAGTATCTAACACTGTAAAGAAAATGGAAAAGTAAAATTACAAAATAATTTGTTCTGAAACAATTATACTCTTTTGGAAGCTTATTACATGGGTTAAAGAGAAAAAGAAAACCTAACACAACATCCCACCCCAAACATATCTAGTAAACTACAGTTCTTTCACACTTAAATTTTATGGGGAAAACATTGCAAATTAGGGAATACATTTTCAATGGACTTTTTAATGTGAGAAAAAAAACTATACCTAATTTTACTAGGTAAACAAGTTTTAAAACTTGAAAATACCTGAATTAAATACTTGCTCTAACAGGTAACTAACTTTTAACTTTCAGGTAAGATCCACACTTGATTCCAGGTTTGTAAACATTATATAAATCTTTCTTAGTCAAACAATTTTATGGCTGTGGTGATCATTTCAGCTCTACTTCTAAGCAGTCAACATTTAACTGAGGTAGACCAGATGTTTCTAAACTCAGGGTCTCAGAATTCCCTGAATCGTCAGCAAGTAAATAAAATATCTGTGAAAAGTTTTAACAAACAACAACAACAACAAAAAAAAACATTAAAAAAATCTATGCTGTTAAAATTTTCTAATGAACTCAAAGACTACTTTGTGGCAGTATGTCAAATAAGAAAATGAATGTAGAATTGGTTAGAAGCTGTGTTCTGAAGCTGAACAGCATTATACCTTCTTTCTTAAGTAGGGAAAAACTGAGTATTATTCCTTCTAGATATTAAGTAAAACATCTTAAAATTGTTTCTTTAAAGGATTTGGTTTTCAATAGGCTCATCTAAACCTTAATGAAGGGTAACAGCGCCTCCTAGTGGCCAAAGGAACAGCAAGTGGCAGTAAACTGGCCTTTCCTAGTGTGTCATGTGATCCTTCATGCCATTAAGTTTTGTGGGGAAAAAAAATACGCTGCTAACTTGCTAACTTAAAAGAGTTAGATTTAGACAACAATGGCATTGAGTTACAATACAAAATCAATACATATAAGGCTTCTGTAATCAAAGTCTCAGAGGAGCATCTGTTCCTTTTCTCCAAGCCCCAGTCCTAGAAATCAAGTCAAGTAGTTAAGCTTCAGCTATTTTGGCAGCTTTGCAATTAAGATGAACAAAGCACATCTACCCTCTGTATACACTATGTATTATGGTTCTATCTTGCACCAAACTTCACATGCAGAGAGACTAAAAATACCCATTTTGGTGTCAGGTTTAACTACGAGCCAATAAAGAACTTGTTATACTACCCCATCCCCTAGTGAATTCTAAGATTTATTACTTACTGACCCAATTATGTTTAGCTGGGATTTTTTGAAAGCAGGTATTTATCTCCTTATACAAGGGCATGTTTACCTGGGACCTAAAACATACTGTACATGAATATACACAACTACAATACAGCACTGCTGTCTTTAACAGCTCCATATATAGTCTAAGTTATTCTGTACCTCAAAACCATGTTTTAGAAAAAGGTTATTGTGTAATGCCATGGTAAAAAGGAATTAAGTCTCTCAAATATTCCTTTGGAAGTAATTAAAATAAGTTTAAAAATAAATAAAATGAATAAAACCATGATTTTAATGTAGAACTATCAATAAGCAAAACCCAAAATAATTAAATGTGGCCAGCCCAGACTGCCACAAAAAAAAGAAGAAAAAGAAAGAAAGAAAGAAAGAAAGAAAGAAAGAAAGAAAATCTTTTACTTATATGGCTATATAGTTTTTTTTACACAGGTCACCAGAGGCTAATTTTCAAGTCCACATCAGAAGGAGTACTTGTTAAAACAAAATTAAACAAACTTAAATCCATGATTCAACAGAAAATGTGACAGACTCCTTGGGTGTGATATTAGAAACCAGCTTCAAAGAGGAAAGATGGCAGTCACCCCGGATTACAGACCAACACCATGGTTCATCATGGCTCCATAAGATAGGGAAATGGAACAGGGCTTGGGATGAGCCTTCTGGCTCTGACTGGATACTGAACATGAGATGGAGTAAGGCTGATGGCTAGAGTAACCACCTTAAGAGAAATGAAATAGAAAAGACATAATCTACCCCACACGGATCTAATGCTAATCTCCACTTAGAGTAGTCATAGCTTCCCCTATGGCCCAATGGGAAGTTGATAATGCAACATTATAGTTTCTCTTTCTCTCTATTTACCCCGAGTATCAAGCAACCAGTTTCCACTATATCTATATGACCCTCTTCCTGCCCGCACAATAGGTCTTTATAGGAAAACTCACCGGAAAAAGTACATTGGCTTTACCTTTGGTTTAAATGCAAGAACATTGTTGGGAGAGAAATAGAAATCAAATCATCTTGACCATTTGTCACTGAATGAAGCAGATGAAAAGCATTTGCAAATGCTTCGTAAGCTGTAGGTCACTTAAAGTGTCCCTGTGAAGGCAGCAAGGCCAGAATACCACACACTCATTCAGATCGTCTCAGAAGGCTTCCGACCCAAGCCCACGGCAGTGAAGCTCTCTTCAATTAGGAAGCTGCACTGACTCTTGTTCCCGTTCCCTATCGGCTGAATTTGTTTCTCATCTACCCAGGAATGGCAGGTCACACTGGCCTGGGCGCTTCAGGGTATGCTATAGCATCATTTGAGGGGTTGAGTTTCCACTTTGGATGGGACAGTTTCGGTGAGGTCAGGTCTAACACGTGCTCCAGATTGCTACAGGAACTACTTACCCAGTCAGAACAGGCTTGAGCACAGCTCAGAGCCTCCCAGGAGTGCCTGCTTGGTATAGGCTGTCGACAACCACAGTTTTCGTCTTCTTTTGAAATATCTACCACCAGAGTCTACAGGGAGTCAGAGTTCATCCTTCTCCATCATTTCAAATGCTTCTATGTCTTCATTCCAGTCTGCTAATATGGAGTCGATAGGCTGGGCCTTTTTACCCCAGCTAACATTAGGATTCGAATCTTCCTTAGTTTCTGATTGTTCTTCAAGTTGGTTATCTAAATCTGTACATTCACCATCAAGGCTTGGAGTCTCAAGGCTTTCTGTGGAACTAGGTATCTGTTCAGAGGGGGCAAAGCCAGCAGCTTCTTCTATGTCTGCTGGAGATGATGACTCTGAGTGGGATTCTAGAGGGTTTTCAGGGGTCTCCTGATCAATCAAGTCAAATGTCTGAGAGAGTGACAGCAGCTGTTCTGCACTTTGATTCTGAGAATCATTTTCAGAAGGCGGCTGGTCTTCATTTTCCATTTCAGTATCTGTATAGGAAAAAACCAAACACATCACTCTCTCCCTCTTAAAAAGTGCACCACATTTGCAACAAAATTAAAAAATAAAGCATTCATATCAACGCAGAAGAGTAAACACTGAAGTCAAGGTCTTACAATCTCATTTTCTGTTTAGTTATGGGGAGAATGTGCTGGCAATGAAAATAAATTTCACTCCAAATGGAAAGGAATAATAGTAACTTAATAATACAATGCTGACTTGGGTGAATATTAGTAAGTAACAAAAGCACTAAACAAAAATGTTAAAATGCACATAAAATTTCAACATATGACTAAAATTGATTAAACATCATAGCCAGAGATGACTCAGTGGCTGAGTGTGCTTGCTGCACAAACATTAGGACAAAAGTTTGGATCCCAGGACCCATGTAATAAGCAGGCATCTCCCAGCTACCTCTAATTCCAAATCCATGTGCACGAGCAAGCATGAGTACACACACATACATACCTGCACATACAATCAGGCACACACACACACACACACACACACACACACAATTTATTAATACCTAAATTAAGAAAGTTTGCACACAAGAATATTCTAAATGAAATAAATTCTAATATTTTAGTAGCATATATCATTGCTAAAATTTGAAATCATATTTCTTGGAAAAGTGAAATTACCCCTCAGTGATCCATTTAGATTCAAACAAAAAGACTGAATGGTTACAGGTATTAATATGACTCATCAAACAAAATATTTTCATGAAGACAAGAACTAAGAGTGTTAATAAGACTATTACTGTGAATCTATGAACCTTAAACATTATTTTAAAATTCACTAAGAGCCTGAGTAGATAAAGTTTCTGTAGTGAATATAAACTATAAAAGCCCTGGAAACACTTAAGTTCCTATAATAAAGCACTTAAGCAGCTTTGTCACTCAGACGCCACAAGCTGCTCAGCCTGTTTCTGCAATGCAGCTAGAACTCTCCAGGATGTCCACTGTGCCTGGTGGAAACAGGGAGGGAAAACTACCACTGTGCCTGCCTTTAAGCATCTTACAGGCCAACGAGAAAATGGTACCCACAAATAATGGATATTTATACAGTACGTGAAAAACCCCATGTTTTGTAGGGGAGCTAGGCATGAGGTATTAAGAAAGCTTGCAGTAGTAACATTTGAGGGCTCCTTCAGGAAGGAAGCAGAGCTCACAGCAGAGAAGGAAAAAAGACATGAAACTAAACTAGCCCTCGAAGGAAAGGTGGACAAGCAGGAATGTACAGGTGAGCATGGACAGCCACCCTCTCTGGTAGGATTGCCTATTTAGGGAAGTTTCTGTGTGCGCCAGTGTGCGGTTTTCGGATGGTGTGATGGTTTAAATGAGAACTGTTATCCACAGGCTTTTGTATTGACACTCTGTAGGACACCTTAACCACGCCTCCTGGGGCTGGCTACAGGTGTAAACACTTGGCCCCCAGCTGCCCATGGTGGTACTCTTTGGGGAAGTTTCGGAGGTGAAGTCTTTGGAGAAGGTGCTTCACTCAGGGTGGACTTTGAGAGTTGTCTAGCCTAGCCCCACTTCATTTCTTTCTGCTTTCCAGTTAGGGTGAAGATGTGACCTCTCAACTTGCTCCTGCAGCTGCCTGCTACCATGCTGTAGCTGCCATTAAGGACTGGAACCCTGGGAATGTAATACAAATCAAGCTCTTCTGTAAGTTGCCTTTTGCCATGTGTTTTATCACAGCAACAAGAAAATTGACTAACACAGTTTGTTTTGTTTGTTTGTTTTTGGAGTCAGAAGCACTATAGTCACACTATGAGCCCAGCCTGACTGTTTTTTGTTTTGGCAGGGGGAGGCTGAAGGTTTCCTTTTTTTTCTGCCTAACTTTTTTTTTTTAATGCAATACTTTATTCCTTTTATTACTAGGTAATCAGCTCAGGTTTCTTAGCTGTGAAACAAGCACAATTAAGTAAACAGTTAGGGGAACAAGGGATAAGATACAAAAAGGGAGCTCAGAGCTTTACTATGCTAGGTGACCATAAGTGAAGGAGAATAATAAAGTCCTTGGAGTTTCTTTTTCCATCATATTATTCTAGTCTAGAAGGATGGGATGGGTGCAGGGTTGTCCTGTGTAATAAAGACTGCTGTGACTAAGCCCCTTCAGGAGTTATATGTGATATGTTATTATTCTCGATGTCTACCTAATGCTATAAAATAACAGAATAACCAAGGTAGATACATATTAAAAAAAATAAATACAAGTATTACCTACATTTTTATATTGTGACTGTATACTAAAACTCAAGTGTGGTGGTCTGAATGAAAATGGCCCCCACAGATTCATAGGCAATGGTACTACTAGGAGGTGTGACCTTGTTGGAGGAAGTGTGTCACTGTGGGTGGGCTTTGAAGTTTCAGATGCTCAAACCAGGCCCAGTATCTCACTTTTTTCCATAAGCCTGCAGATCACGATGTAGAACTCTTAGCTCCTTCTCCAGCACCATGTGTGTCTGCATGCCACCATTTCCTGCCATGACAGTAATGGACTAAACCTCTGAACTGCAAGCCAGCCACAATTAAATGTTTTTCTTTATAAGAGTTGCTGTGGTCAGCTGGGCATTAGTGGTGCATGCTTTTAATCCCAGCACTTGGGAGGCAGAGGCAGGGGGATCTCTGTGAGTTCAAGGCCAGCCTGGTCTACAGATCGAGTTCCAGGAGAGGCTCCAAAATAATACAGAGAAACCCTGTCTCCCAAAAAAAAAAAAAAAAAAAAGAAGAAAAAAAAAAAAAGAGTTGCCGTGGTCATGGTGTCTCTTCACAACAAACAGAAATCCTAACTAAGACATAGAGCAAGTCTAATTTTAAGAAATACTATAATGGTTAGTAAAAAATTGGTAAAGAAAACTAAAATAGCTGCAAATTACCAGTAGCTCCTCAATAGAAGCACCAAAGAGAAATCACACATTTTTTATTATATAATAAAAAACTACAAAACTAAATTATGACAGGTATAAGGTTCATATTGCTTAATACTGTATAGTTATAATAAAAAGAAAAAACAAGAGCTGATTAAATTTACAGCTATGTTCTGTAACAGGAAGTTGTTACACTTAGTTTTCTACTCTACAAAAAAATACGAGAATACATGATTTCAAAATGAATCGCATTTCTACTTCTTTTAGTTTTTGAACTATACAAAATTGAAATTCTAGAAAGATTCAATAAGGGAAGAGCTATCATATGAAATGTATTTTAAACAAAGCTTCTAAATCACTGGCACAGGAATAAACAAATGGGCTGGAAGGACACAAGTGCAAGTGTTGTCTATTTGGCCTGTAAAATCTTGTGAATCCGCAGAACAAGAAACAGAAGGCAGCCAAGCCAGCCTGGGCTCTGAGAGGGACAATGACTCAAAGGACTTGAGGGTAGCCACATTGTTACATCTTCACTCTCAGGCACACTTTACCAGCATAAAGGGCATAACACTGATCAGAAATGGCGTATCAGAAACACAAGAAACAAAAAGACTGGACAGAGGCCCAAAGAATATCAGTGGGTCTTACTAATAAAAGGGGAAGATAATGCTGGTAAAGACTTAAGAATTTGAGTATTATACAATCATTCATTCGCCAGCACATTCTATGGTGACTGAAAGCAAACACAAGAAAGGCAAGAGGTAAACAATCATGCAATAAGAATGAGAAAAAAATGTCATACAGAAGGGGCGTCTGAATTGTGTATAGAATGGCTGAACTTAGAAGTGGAAAAGAGCCAAAGGGATGTGAAAAACAGATAAAGTAAATTCACACAGAAACATGGCCTGCTGAGAGAAGGAGGGCAGGCAAGCATGGCTTCCTAACCACAACACCGGGCAGTTCCTCTCCAGACAGAGAGCCATCTGCCTATGTACAAGGCTGTCCTCACTGGACTCAGACCTTTTCCCAGCAGCTTCCACAGTCCAACTCCAGGGCAGCAGCACTGCGGCCTATGAATGGGATCATTTGAGGACTGACACTGCCTGGCTTAAATTCAGGGCAGTTTACAAGATGAGATTCTTTCTTGCCTCCATTTTCCGTCTGCCTTTTACCAGACAAACACTAATACAGGAGTAGTGGTTAAAGCATTTGTCTGCCGCCTTAGGGCATGCTGACCTGCTCTGTAGGCTGGGAGCATGGCAGTGTAATAGAACTTGAAGTGCTGGTGCTTTCCTCCATAATACTTTTTTTTCTTTTTTAAATTTTTTTTTCAAGATAGGGTTTCTCTATGTGGCTTTGGAGGCTGTACTGGCACTTGCTCCATAGACCAGGCTGCCCTTGAACTCACACAAATCCATCCACCTGCCTCTGCCTCCTGAGTGCTGGGATTAAAGGTGTGTGCCACCACTGCCTGGCTTTTTCCTCCATAATACTAAGGAGAGGAGGAAACTGACTCAATTGTAAACCACTTCAATTTAAGGGTCACCAACACACTTTTTGTTTGTGAGGCAGGGTTAGAATTATTAAATATCTTTAAAAACTCAGATTTTGAAGTAATGAGACACTGAGAGACACAGTGTTCAAAGTTTTGTTCAAAAACAGAGTGTAAACTTATAGATGTGTCAATGGTTTCCCAAGGAGCAACATCTCTATTTGATAACCTTCTAGAGCTTCGGCTTTTGAAGAATGTGTAATATCTGAACCCTGTTGCTAGCAGGTAGGACAGTTCAGATATACAGATCCTAAGAGTCACACTTATAAGACAAAATGTGGGTATAGGAGGGAGCTTGTCTGGGGCGTCTATCTCCTCTACTGTTAAGTGCAAAGGGCTTCTCAATCAGCAAGCCATGTGATGCCAGTTGGAAGGCTCATTTGTAGACAATCTGATGCCTGGATTACGATCTTACTACTGAGGATACTCACATAACTCTAACTCATGAGCCAGAGCGAGGAGACAGAAAGGTCTTCTGGGTCCCCTTCCATGCCTCTCAAAGTGCAGGTGAACTGCTGTGCTACAATCACGCCTGGGAGTGTCTAAATGTGGGATTCTGGTGCCTGCTTCAGAATCTAACTCAGTACAGTGGAGAATGCAGGCACCTCCACTTCCAAAAAGCATATCAGTCAATACTGACGAAGGTAAAGCATAGGATATGGTGATGGTATGGGACATATTAGTGATAACCACTACAGTGCTTAACTTCTTACAATATTATACTAAGTGAATAAAGTGGTGGATCTGATTGAACTAGTATCACTGATTTCTCTTACAGGTATAGATGTTAATAATCATAACTTGTTGTCTTGGCTAACACAGGTGTACATTTCTCAAAGTGCTATTATGCACACAAACCTTAAACCTTCCATAAGGAGCACTGTAAACTTAACAGCTCAATAAAGTTATGGACCACCAAAGTGCTTTAAAATTCCATTTACATAATGTCTTTTTACTGCAGCTTTTAAGGGAATACTATTCCTTAACACCTTCTTTTCTAGTAGAACTGACTATTTTTCCTACCCTTTTCCTGATGTGGGGAGCATATTCTTTACCATAATCACAGTCTTAACCCATGTTGCCCCTCACCTCCAAAAGAGCTTATAAAACAAAGCCAATATTTTAAATACTTTACTTTGTATAGAAATAAAAAATGATCAAAAGTAACAATATCTTATAATTGCTGTTAGAGTGACTCTTGTATGGACCTGGACTAGTGAATTCGTCTGGAATATGGAATATAAAATTAATAGAATTAGTTATAGTGGGATCAAAAAAGAATTATTACTATGGGACAACTGACTGAATATGGAAGTTTTAATTACATTAAATTATATATTATCATGATACTCAGTGAAACAAAATTATATATGTATGTGTGTAAAACACACACATACATATATAATTGTTTATTAATGCAAGATACTTACTACTGTTAATAATGTAGCTTGGAATCATTTTACCTTTTAATATTGCTGCTGAAATTCCAATGGTAGCAGAAAACAGGGGGAAAGCAGAGGCATTAAAGCATTATACAGATTAATATTAATTTGCCTGGGTTTGATGTACAGCAGAGTAGGAAAGATGGGAATTTTTAAAAGGGCCCCAGGAAAAAAAGAAATCGAGTACACAGGCGGGTTTAAGAAGATCAGGACCTCTTCGTATTCTGTTCCGACTACACATCCTTACACACCTGGCTCATTCATTCCACTGCTCTTCGAAGCAGTTCGAAGACTCTCAACAAACAAAGCAATACAAGAAGACAAAACACTGATTGGGACAGCACTGAACTGTTAGCCTTTTTAAAAAGATGTCTCATTTGGCAGTCACACAGATTATACAGTGCCATTCATCTAAGGGGATGGGAGACACAGTTCCCTCTACAAGTACCTCTTCCTAAAAAGACTGCTACCAGGAGCAGGATCATAGCCTATAACCCTCAGCTTTCCCCAACCCTCAGGTGTGAAAACTATGCAGCCTTTACACAGTGGTTTCAAATAACTTTCAAATTTCTAACAACACTTTAGCCTAGGGAAGATTATACATTCTTATGAGTTAAGGTGTCTTGCTCATCAGGCAAAGCCATTTGTAACTCTTGTAGTATAAAAATCCATGTGATAAATGCAGATGGCAGCAGGGAGAAGCTCCTGCATTTCTAATGCCTTCGTCAAGTGGCCTGAGAGTATAGGTTGCTGGTGAGATTGCTACGGTCACATTGTATATGATACCCCACATGCAAAAAATACAATTCTAAAAGCATTCTAATTCAGCCATCAAAACAAATGTTTTTACTACTCATAATATTATAAACTACAATAGTAAATTATAAATAATAAGTTTATTATTTATTTTATGATATATAATTTAATGGAAAACGGTAAAAGTAAATAATAAATCCTAATATTAATAAAATAAAAATAATAAATAAATTACTATTATTTCCAAGAGAAAAATTCTAAACCTCTTTGTAAAATTTTTACTTGTTTTAACAGAAAACCAAAAATAAAGAAGAAAGCCTATGTCACTTTTGTCAGCATCTTTTGCCACCAGGCTAACAGGACTAACACAGTGCCCCAGCTGTTACCTCGGTCTCTTGCTTTGTCAGAAAGGAGCACCTCCACTTCCTCGTGCTCCCGGATGGCATCCAGGATGATGCTTCCTTCTTTGCTGAACAGGAACAGCATGGGGATCTTTATGTCGTCTGTGTCTTTCCCGTCACCTGCCATCTGGAACAGAGGGGCAGTGTCACTGCTGCTCCCCTCGTTGTCATCTAGCCAGAGAACAAATAGAACAATCAGGGTATCTGTCCACTGTAGATGTACTGTTACTGCTTCTTCCCTATTGACAGAAACGATTTTATGTACCAGAAAAATGAATATAATCTTCAGATCAACTAACTTTATGATTTAACCTAAGGAAATAATTGAGATTATGAGATTTAACCTAAGCAAAAACTTTAAACTGAAAGAAATTTACTGACTGCACAATTATAAACAGCTCTCAATAAATTATAATGAACTATTTGCACACAGAAAAATAATATATGAAAAAAAACAAGACAGATTTCTATGATTATGACTGGAATATTTTCACGTATAAGGAAAAGCCTACAAATGAAAGATTTTAATGACGTGGATTGCACAGGTAGAACTATGAATGAACTTTTAGATTTCCTCTAATGGATTTGTTAGAGTTTGGGCATTCCTAATTCAAAAACTTAAAATGCTCTGAAATCACATTAGACCAGGGATTACCTAACTGGTAAAGATGAATTAAGTAGTATTGTTATTTTACACTGGTTAAGCATCAGTTAAATTTTCTGACAGTGTGTCAATCATATCCATTCCCAGTATCATATACCAGTTTCCTGAGGAAAATGACAATGCCAACTCACACACCACCTGCTTCATAGGCCCAACTAAGTAATTAACCAGATAAAAGATAGCTGTCTGACCCCCAGTCCCTCTAGGACCCTAGAACAGATGCACAAAAAGACTGCTTCTGCTGGTGTGGGTAACAGTCCGTGCAAGTGACTCAGGCTGAGGGCCTGGCTACCTTTTGGGAACTGTGAACAGAGAAATTGGGAGCAAGTGTGTGAGGGGCTGCAGAAGAGTTACAGCTACAAAAGACCCAAAGACTAGGCAGCACCAGATGAAGAGAATGTGAAAACTGCCAGCTGTGGCAGCTCACAGTTCACATGCAGCCTGGTCAAGTCCAGCTACTGTCTTACTCTTGGGCTGAATGAAAACCATCCCTTTCCACATAGTGGACAGCCTCCCTTCTTAAAATAACAAGTAAATTACTACCTCCTGCAGGTAAATAATTCCTAAGGTAATTTGTATTTCTAAGGCAAGGTATTTGTCCTTGTAATTAAAAAAAATGAAACCCAAATTTCTACAAAGGAAAAAAGTTTTGTCAGAAAAAAAAAAAAACCCTCAGGAGAAAGAAGTCTCACATATGTTAAAGTTCTTTTTAAAATTGAAATTTCTGACAACAAAAACACCATCTCATTGTTCCACAGAACCCATGTAGGAGTGTGCACCAACAGCTACTGAAGCAAGTAAGTAAATGTCTGCCCGTCACAGAGCACCACCAAGATTCCACCCAGAAACGGAAAATCTTCACACAGAAAGGTGTTTAAGATTGACGGACACACCCCACACTATGTTTTACACTTTAAATCTCTGTTTTTAAGTCTGGGCAAGAAATGCTCAAAATCATAGTGACAACAAGCTCCTAAGTTCTTCAGTAAGAGGAGCCTCAATATGAAAATAGCCAACAATAAACAGGATGCCTCAAGGGGCTGGGAAATAGCTCAGTTGGCACAGTGCCTACCACACAAACACAAGGACCCAAATTTGGATCCCTAGTGCCCACATAAAAGCTGGCATGGTGGTGCTCATCTGTAACCCTAGCACTGGGAGTTAGGGTAACAGGTAGACCCTCACAGTTCACCAGCCAGTCATCTAGCCAACTCATGAGTTCCGAGCTTAGTGAAAAACCTATTCAAAAATTAAGGTGGAAAACAGCTGGGAAGAGACACCAATGTTGACCTGTGGCCTCCACACAGATGCACATGAATGTGTGCACACGCACAAATCTGTACACACAGACACACTTAAAGAAAAAGATTTAAGTCAGGAGTCAGTCAAGATGTCCTGGAACTGGCCACACAGCGAACACTGTCTGTCAGCTTGTGTTCTCTGTTGGAACTACCCAACCCTGCAACTCAGAAACAGTATCTCCATGAATTTGGTGCGGGTGGTCCACACCTAACAGTTTGCTAAATGTGGGTTTAAGTTATTAAACACAATTTCTTCTAAAACATTTAAACTAATGAAATTTATTTACTTAAATCAACAGTTTAGTCTCCATACAGAATCAACAAAGAGAGCAGGAAACAATTTTTTCCATGCTAGAGACAAAAGCAGGGCCACTGAGCTACAACCCCCGCCCCAGCTTTAAATTGTTTATGTACTCTCACTGTAGAAATGAATACTAATTAAGGAAAATGGAAAATGGACTTTCCTGGTCAAATCACAAGTGATGTGGGATTCCAGTCTTCCAGTTCTTTCTAAATGAAAATGCCTTTTTACTTTAAACAAAATTTATACTCCTGCTGCTAGTCACGGCTTGTTATGAGAAAATGGGAGGGAGTGGTTGGGGTATAGCAAAACTCAAAGGTGGAACTATACGGGTAAAGCTGGTAATTTGTAATTTCTGTGGCAAAGCCCCACTGAGATAAAAAGTTCTAACAACAACTGCTTACCTATTGTCTAGTATTGGTAGCTTAAGAAATCTTTTTTCAGAAAGAAAAGATAACAAATAACTGAAGCGGGGCCAAGGCTGCACTACCATTCTGTGGCAGAGCTACTAACTGCCATTCCAAAGCCTGCCACCCTGTGGAGGAAGGGAAGTCTCCAAAGGCTGCACACAGGAAGTGGCTGAGTGGAATTCTTACCTGGAGACTTTAGGTCTCAAGGGCACAGTTTCTCTTCCAGAGTGTGGGGCATTTGCACAACACTCCAAATCCACCCTCACACCATATCCCAAATATTTCCACTGACATTAATATACAGAAACCAATATCTAGATTTTCAAGAAAGACAAATGTTTAGGAATTATCAGGTCATTGAATCATCTATCCTTTATGTTGTCAAAATAAAAATAACCTGATAAACCCTTTGATAAGATTTTAGAAAAATCAAAGGAAAATCCACCAATCACCTCCTCCTGATCAATACACTGATACAGAGGACTGACTACTCACCAATGACGATGCCACCGATGGCTCCAGCATTCTGGATGTTTCGGGCCTTTTCTGCAAACATGCACTGTCCTCTTTGTATCAAGGCAATTTTCCCCATCACAGCCTCGGGGTTAGTGAGTTCTGAACAACCATTATATGGTTTACTGCTTGCAACAAATCCTCTCGTCTGTCAGAAATAAAAGTAACCTAAATCTTCTATTGTCTTCAATTACAATCTAATCATTTAATGTTAGTATCGTAAGCTTTAAGGGAAATAGAATTCTCCCTCTCCCTCTCCCTCTCCCTCTCCCTCCCTCCCTCCCTCCCTCCTACATGTGCAGAAGCTACAGACCAATCATCAATCTCTTCTATCATTCATCAAGAGCCATTCACCTCATCATTTGAGAACAGGTCTCTACCAGGAACTTGGGGATCACAGATTAGGCTAGGGTGGCTGGCCAGGGATCCTCCTGTCTCTGCCTCTCCAGTGCTGGGATTTAGAGGGCATATTAACATGCCTGGCTTTTATCTGGGTGCTTGGGCTGAACCCAGCTCCTCATGTGTGCACAGCAAGCACTCTAATGACTGAGAGATCTCCCCAGATAGAGAGATCTGTATACAAATATAAGAACACTTCAAATGCAGGAAGCTGGAATGCTAAAGTAATGTTTTGTTTTGTCGTGGGGACTAACAACAGGGTCTCAGCAGAGTGTGTGTTTCTGCCACTGAAATGTACACTCAGACCCCAACTTCTAAATATAAAGCTACAAAATGAGAGACAAAGAAATCAAATACTTACTATTTTAATTTTAGTAAGCTTACTGGCGTGCACATACCTCTTTATGTTTAGATAGATCCAGCCCAAACTGAGCTGGTCCAGCAGTTAAGACTACCCTGCCAAAAAACGGGTGGGAAATAATTTGTACGGCTCGTGGAGGTAGCTGCTGCTCTTTTTGTTGCTGACTTGACAGTTCAATCATCTCCTGCATGAACCGAAGCCCGTCTTCAGCATCAATTGAACTAGCAGCCTATGAAAGAAACAGATTCAGGTTAGCTGACCTTTCCTTCTTGCTAACTTCCCCATCTTTTTGACTTCCTAAATTACAGACTTCTGCACGGAATTTCTCCTTTTAGTTTAGGTCCCCACTAAGTATTTTTTATCTAACTTGCTCTCAACACACTCTTTTCAGAGATTAAATTCTGTGAGAAGCATTGTCTGTAACTTTCATCAATGTCTCTTTACCACCATATAAACACTTTGGTGGAGATTGGAAACTGTTTATATCAAACACTCAAGTACCCTTTTGCTGTTTACCTCTACTGGCTTCTGCTTTGAAGGAAAAAGCCCTCTTGTCTGACCCACGTCTTTCCTCTTTGAAACTCCAAACTAAGCCTGGTGGTGGTGGTGCATGCCTTTAATCCCAGCACTTGGGAGACAGAGGCAGGTGAATCTCTGTGAGTTCGAGACCAGCCTGGTCTACAAGAGCTAGTTCCAGGACAGCCTCCAAAGCCACAGAGAAACCATGTCTTGGTGGTGGTGGGGGTGGGGGGAGAAAGAAAAAAGAAAAAAAACTCCAAACTAGCAAGCAGATTCATAAGGTTCAAAACACGGATTAAATGCCTATTCTGTCCCCACAGTAAGCTGAAGCACTGCAGAGACAGTCTTTAAGTTGGTGTCTAATGGAGAAAGACATGCAGAATTAACTGTGCTAGAAAGTCTAAAGTAAAAAGGCACATGGGAATAATTGATTCTGCTTGTGTATAACTGAGAACTAAGTCTCAACCAACGAGAAGTTGAAGATGCCCATCATAGGAAAAAGCTGCAAAAAATAAAAAATAAAAAATAGGATCGATGTAGGAGCTGGAAGACACAGAGCCAGCAAGAATTCAATCCCAATCTGAAATTTCTAGCACTGCAAAGAGCTCAGAGAATGAGAATTCAGTGAATACAAAACAGAGAAGAGAGCTGAGGTAAGGACAGGAAGGTGACAGAGAAGGAAAAGCAGTTCAATCTAGGGCAGATGGAGGCTGAGATGTACAAATGCATAGCAGATGTATTAAAGCTAGGTTCAGGGTTAAAGTTCAGAATGACTGCTACATGCATATGTCCAAGAAGTCTTCTGTTCACAGATAGTGGCAGAAAGAGAAGACTTGATGAGAACAAAGAGAAAAGAATACCATATGGAGTCTTAGCCAACCCTGCACTGAGTGGGGTGCCAGGGAAGCAGAGCTACAAGGTGCAGAACGAGAACTGAACAGGAACTGTGTTGCTAGAACACCCTGGGAGCCAAACTGAAGGAAATGTTTTAAGAAGAGGAAAATCAAAAAAAGTTAAATAGTGTTAAAGATTAAGAGGCCACTTGGTGGACACTACTTCACTGGTAATCTAAATAAAAGCATCAGAGCCATGCTCACAATTTGGGGCCATAAGGACACAGGGATACTCTTAAATAGAAGATGAGATGGCAAGAAAAGAGATAAAAATCTGAGGGAAAAGTGAGGCTGTGGGAAAGCTGGATTTGAGAGTAAAGGTGTTCAAGTGTGCTTACAGCTTATATTATTCAGAATATTATGTTGTTCAGAGTCACTGTGCGAGTAAATAACCTAAAGGCTTCATGTTATAAATACTTTAAAGTAAAATCAATAATAATTATCTAAAAGTTATGTTATCTTTTTCAGGTACAAATACATTCAAAGCTTGATTTCTGTGATGAATGAAGTACCTAGATTCAGTACTTTTTGGAAGCTAGTGTGGAATATTATTGTATAAATATTAAAATTAACCACTAACTACAAATAAAACAGTGGAAAGACAAAAAGCTGAGAAACATTTAGATTTAAGTCCTATCGTTGACTGTATTAATATAAACAAATTACTCAAATGATTATGGGGATTAGGAACTTTCCCAGCAAGTTTACAACAGTCAAATGCCACACCCTTCTCCAATTAGAGAGCATAGACAGCACCTAGCCCATACAGCAATGTCTTACTTGGATTGCATGTTGGACCAGCTGGACTCGCCCATCTTTGAGGTGAATCAAACTCACCCCCATCTTCTTCAGGATTTCTAAATGTTCAGGGTTAGTGGCCATAAAATCTCTGGCTCTCAGAGGAGGTTTAGCTCCACTTCTGAAACTCTCCTCTCTGCAGAAAGGAAGCAGAATCGAGGCTTACAACTACACATTACAAGCAGTGAAATATAAAAAAACAAGGAAGAGCAATCTTAGTAGATACTTGCAAAATTGCTAATTCTAGAACTGGTGAAGCTGGAGTAATTTATTATGCATAATTCTGATTACTAACAAACTGTGTCACTTTCGTGTGTGTGTGTGTGTGTGTGTGTGTGTGTGTGTGTGTGTGTGTGTGTGTGTGTGTGTGTGTGTGTGTGTGTGTATTCCAATGAAATATATTGTATAGGCTGTCTTTCTCTAAAAACATTTTCTCACATTTTTTTCAGTTTTAATTTTTTAAAAATTACATGAATATGGGTGTTTTGTCTGCTTGTATGTCTGTGCACCGTGTTCATGCAGTACCCTTGGAAGCCAGAAGGCAACATCAACTCCCTAGGACTGGAGTTACAGACAGTAAGCTGCCATTTGGGTACAGGGAATGGAAGCTGGGTCCTCTAGAAGGGCAGCCAGTGCTCTTAACTGCTGAGCCACCTCTCCAGCCCTCACAATATTTAAAAGCAAAACAATACTTTCATCAGTGGATAATAATGCCCACTTCATTCTTTTAGCTCCCTTGTGTCAATGGCTTTTCTAATAACTAGATAGAAGAAAATGAGCTCATTTATGTGCCTCCCAAAAGTTTGGTTAACAATCAAGAAGCAATTCTAAGGACAATAAAGCACTAACAAAAATGTCTTTCCACTCTACAGAAACTAGACATATGGAAGTATTTTTCTTATACATACAAGACAATGAAATAGTTGATTAATCTTTTCTATCTAAAAATGAGCTAGAGAAATTTAAAAATTGTTATATACTATCTGCTATTAAACAAAAATAGATATATTCTATAAAAACTATATGCCTTAGTCTCTGGTCTAGGTAAAAGTCTTTTTGATTAATGTTACAGCTCCTTGAGCACTTTTATTTATTGGGAGTTAACTTAGTATTAGCAAATATAAAATAATACATCTTACACTCTGATGATGCCTCTTGGACAGCTCTTATCCACCACATTTTTCAAGGGTTCACGGATGCTTTGAGCATACAATGGATCATTAGGAAAAAGAATCTGAGTGTTTGGACAAGTCCAGTCAAAATTACTATCATCCAGTTCTGTGTATTCTGAGGTCTGAAACATAAAAAAGAAAAAAAATTATGTAACTAATAATAATAGTGCTATTTAATATTATGTAAAAGGAAAAATATGTAAAAAGGAAATATTTTTATAAAACAAGAGTGATACCCTAAAAGAAAATAAGACAATATTACAAGCACTTTCCTCCTACCATGCATATATTAAATGAATTCTAATGATGGGTTTCTCTATACTTAAGAAAAATGAAGTGAATGTATAGACATGAAAAGATGAGTAAGACAGTTAACTTAAAACTCACTGTGTTCTTCTTAGAGATGCTGCGATTTGTGGTAGAGAGCCAAAGGGGTAGCAGATGGGCTTCTGTGGTAAAGATGTAATCTTCTATGTCAAAAATAATGTCTTCTTTATCAGCAAATAACAGGTATAGATATTTAAACATCTCAGCCAAGAAGAACGAATCCATTCTAAATTGAAAAGTCACAAATAAATATTTAAAAATCCAAATATCAACTATAGAGCCAATACAATTCAAACAGCCAAAGAACTACAGAGTGACTCAATCCTCCAACTGTCAAAATAATCTGGACTCAAATATATATATATACAGCCCCTGGACTCAAGTATATTGTAAAGGCATAAAATACCAGAGGAGCTGCCTACTTCGCACATTAATCTTATCAAAAATTTGTACTAGGCTTTTAATAGGCTTTCTACTATGGAGAATCAACAGCACAAAGGCAATTCAGATGAAGTTTATTAATGAGTCCCATAGAAGAGTCTTCAAGACATGTTAACACATGGATAAGGCACGTCACTTAAATGACATTTGTTATGCAGGCATTTAAGTGATGGAGAGGCTTTAAAAGTAAAGAAATCATTTATAAAAAGTTCCATGGAAATGAACATACAGCCACAGGGCTGTAAGCACAGCGTTGTAACTACTTATCTCCCAGACTGAGCATTTATCTATTTATTCACATGGTTGAGGAGAAAATATAAGGGGAAGAGTGCATGCCTTTACAGATAGTTTAATGTTACATTTTAAAGGGAAATTTAAATAAAATTACATCAGAAGAAGAGTATAGGGAGTAGATGGAATTGCAATGTCAAATGTAAGTAAATTTACTACCTTCCACAACAAAGCACCCAAGGTTTGAGGGTAACAAATGACTGTAGTCTACTTAACAGGTTGTACAGTACCACACTTGTCTTGCTAGCTCAATCCCTGGCACATCATAGGCCCTCAATAGATGTTTAGTAAATTGAACTCAAGTAGAAAGAGTGTTACTAAAGTGGATGGGAGCGGTAAGGAACTAGGCTTTGAAGATGAAGCTCTTCCACTACAGGTCTCTAGCTATTGGGACATTACCTACAGACTGGCTTTGGCTTCCTGTTCTGCAAGGGGAACAAAATGGCACACTATATATTCAATTACAACCACCGCTCTACCCTTCCCTATATCTAAACAACTGTGCGGGTATGCCTGGGCTACCCAGTCATGTGCTGTACATGCACACGGAGCTGGGCTGACCTCAGGTGCCTTCTATCAGCCTCCCCCTCATTTTCTGAAACAGTGTTTCAAGGCACCTGGGACTAGTCAATCCGTCACACTGGGTGGCCAGTGAGCTCCGGGCATCCTGCTTCTGCCTCTGCAACTCTGGGGTTACAGCCACATGTGGACATGCCTGGCTTTTTATGTGGGTGCTTGGGGATCACACTCAAGTCCTCATGCTGTGCAGCAAGCACATGACCCGCCGAGTCATCTCCTGCTGTAAGTAACATTTGAAAACTTTGTGGCCCATTTTAGAAGTAAATTTTGTTAGGAGGAAAAAAAAAAAAA